TTTTTTTTGTGAGAGAAGAGTGTAATGATTATAGGTTGGATGTGATATTTTATTTTTTGTGGCTAAAATAGCCTATTTTATCTTTTGTGACTAAAATAATTAAAAAAATCCAGAAAAACCCTTCCCAAACGGACCCTGAAGAGCCAAGCACCAAGAGATGCTCTACAACTTTCAAATTCATAACACTTTTTTAATATTTCAACCTTTTTTATTTCTTCAACCCACCTGGCATGTCTCTCACGGTTGTTTATTTTTATTTTATCTCATTTCTATAACTCGGGCTATTCCCACTCATATATATATATATATATATATATATTATATGTAACTCAATCACCTTATCATTTTTATTTATTTTTTTATTTTTTTCTGATGGCAATGTCCACCTACTTTTGCCCCACAACTTGTGGAAAGTAGTTGAAGCTTCACAAAACCCAAAACAAGAATGCAAGCATGGCTTCGATCATGTGTGAGGCAATGTGTGGCGGCAGATCCCACGTGGATTTGTTTTTCGCAAATTTTTTTATTTTGTATTTCAATTTGAGAAATGATTGAGACCCTTAAAAAACACACCACAAAAACACTAATGAGTTGAAAAATATATTAAAAAAAAAATAATAGAGACAACCATCACATCAAGAGAGAAGTCATCTTATTAGTGCTCTCTTAATACTTTGTTTTTAATGTTCCCAAGCATTAATCTTTTAATATTCACCCATTAGTACAATAAAATTTATAAGAGATCGTTTGACATTGTTAGCCTCCGTTTGGGAAGTGGATTGACTTTTTGACTTTTTAATTTTTTTTACTTTTTTAGCCTGAGCTAAAAAGCTTGATTTGGGAAGGACTTTTTAACTTTTTGATTTTTTTAACTTTTTTTGTGAAAGAATAGTATAATAATTATAGATTGAATATGATGTTTTGTTTGTTATGACTAAAATAACATATTTTGTCTTTTATGACTAAAATAGCCCGAAACTAATTTGTCAAACGGACCCTTAATATAGTTAATTGTTTTGTGTTGAGATTTTTTTAATCTAACTTTTTTAATTTCATTTGATTTTTGTTGTGAGATTTTTTTGATTTTCGTGAGAAAAAAAGTGTAATAATTATAAATAAAAAATAATATTTTGCTTTATTAGTTTATATAGCTTATTTTTGTCTTTTTATGCTTTTTTAACCCCAATAAGAAAGTCGAACGAGGACTAAGATGAATTACACTAACGGTCCTATAGTTTGGGTCTGTCACTTTGATATCTGACTTTTCAATTGTGATATATTTAATCCTGAATTTTGAATCTTGTTCCAAATAAGAACAATTAAATATATCATTGCTCAATTTCGAGGACTAAGTTGTTAATTTGATAAAATATAAATTAATTTAACAAAAATAAATGTTAAAAGTATTTTCAAATTTTTAAAAATTACTTCTACCCACCAAAGATAAAATTATGTAAAATTGATAAATCTTTTAGACATTTCTTATTTTTTTTACCAAATTAATTTTTATTATGTGTTTAGATGATCATGTAATGGGTGGTTGTTTTTATTTTTATCAATTTTACATAATTTTATCTTTAGTGGGTAGAAATTATTTTTAAAAATTTAAAAATATTTTTTTAATATTTATTTTTGTCAAATTAGTTTATATTTTATCAAATTGATGACTTTGCCCTTAAAATTGAGCAAAGATATCTTCAATTGTCCTTATTTGGAAGGAAATTCAAAATTCATGGTCAAATATGTCACAATTGAAACATCAATGACCAAAATGATACAAGTCCCAAATTATAGAAACTGTTAGTGTAATTCGCCCAAAATTATAATAACATCTAAAATTTTGTAACATAAATAATAATGTTATCTCACTGTAAATCATAATAATTTTATGTTAAATCATTTTCAAAAAAAAAAAAAAAAGTGGTTAGGTGGAAAATGCAGTTTTTTTGGATTTTTTTTTTTTTTTTTGGTTAGACAAATTTAAATTGAATTCTGTTAAAATGTAATCTTCTCACAAGGCAATGAGAGAGAGAAGAAAGATAATGACAGTGGTGTGATTTGTTTAAAGAATAAAAAAAGAGTTTTTTTTTTTAACAGAACTTTTTTACCCACCTTAGTGACAAAGGCCACAAGACATATTCTTACAATAAATTACTTTTTACAGTTTTTACTTTAATTTTATTGGGTGCACTTTTATCCGAATAATTTTACAAAATTAATTTAAAAGCCAAAACTAGATCTGTATTTATATTTTGACCTCAAATTTTTAGCAATGAATTTAATAAATTACATTTTAATTTAATAATTTTATTTTTAATTATATTTTAATCTCATGGCATACACTAGTACTTGTATATCTTAAGATTAAGTTTAAGGAGGTCCAGAACCACTAAAGCTACTGTCCAAAAAAATAATAAGAAATTTGTCCATATTTCAAACCTGTAATGGAGATCCAAGAGGTGTTTTTCAGGTCCATGCATAAAATAAATTTAAATAATGTTGAATAAAATTGAGGTATTTATTCATAAATTCTTTTTTTATCTATTTATATTTAGTCTAAATTATTTTTTTATATTCCAATATGTGTATGGGTGACATCATTACTAAGATATCCCTAACAATAATAGGGTAAAGCGCATTAATGTTAACAGTATGAATTTACCGTGATGTGAACATTCATACTATCAAATATAAATGTTCACATCACTAAATTATTAAGGATTCAAAAAATATTTGTGAGTGTACAACTGCTCAAAAAAATACCTTAAATATGAGAATTAGAATTGAGTGAATCAAATGTCCAAATAATTAGACTTAAAATACAAGAATATATTATGTATTAATTCAGATACAAATACTTAATAAGATTTCCTAATAAATTTCTCAATAAAATATTGAGTATATATTATTATTCGGTCCAGGACACAAAACTGCGCTCATATTCATACCGTCAATGTAACATATACTAACATAGCTTTCGTCAAATTAATGCAAATTTGAAACAAGGAAATAACATTGTATTTGGATATAGATTTCAATAGAAATTTGAAAATAAAAGAGAAATGAAAAAAAAAAATTATATTTTTATTAACAATGTTCTCACTATTTCCCTTCTTTCTTTCTTTTTTCCTTTTTTCTTTTTTTAAATTCATACCTAAATTTATGATTCAAAGAGCTTGATTTGAAAAAGAAAAGGAACTTAGGTAGATTTTTACCTCTCAAACGATGTCAGGAATAACCCATCTAGATATGAAGGATAAAATTCCAACACTTGATGCCAAGAAGATCTATGAAAATATTCATAGAAAAGAGTACATAATTTAAATAAATAAGTCCGCAAAATAAAAAGAAATACCTCTAAGATCTCAAGATTTTAGCACCATGTGAGATTTTAAATATCTTTCCTTGTCACCAACAAGATTCACCAAAATTTCCAAATCAATTGTCTTCAGCTTTGCATAGCTTAATGTCTTACCAAACCTTAACAATAAAAAAATGAAAACTATTAGCTTTTGCAAAGTATATTTATCAAGTTGAAACAGAACATGATCAACCCATAAAGAATGAGAAATGAAACAATAACTAATCAATCAAAGTTTTGATGTAAAAGTTTATAGTGGTTTGCTTAAACGAAAGGATGAGATCAAACAACAATTGTTTAAGCAAAGAATAGCTCACCTTAGCTTTTTGCTCACCTATATCTGCAGATCTTGTAATAATGAATAGAAGAGGAAATATATATACGGCAGGTTGGTTTTCACAAGTAAGTTTACTGCTATTGTCAGTAAAGCGATTAAGAAAAATTATGTTTGTTTGATAATTAGTAAGTTAGTAATAGTTTTTGTTAGTTTTGAGAGGGTGAGATTAATTATGTAAAATTTTATAAATATCCTTGTTATATTACTATCAAATTTGAACTTATATCAACTAATAAATGCATTATATATTTTAATATTAAAAATATATTTTATAAATATTAAATTATATGTTAATATTGAAAATTATATTCCATAAATATTGTACGGGGAGCAAATATTCAGGCGAGCCCGTATTCCTTTCTTCCAAGCTCCGTTTCTGTCCGATCACCTGAAAGCACAATGTGGGTGAGCTACCCGGCGGTGTGTGGCCGGAAAACCCCTCCGACGGTCAAGTTAGAACACACACCAGGGGATACATAGAAAGAAGGGAAAGTGTTGAGTGTTTAGTGTATGTCTCACCAAATGTTCATCTGTCCGCGTATGGGGGGCGCAGACGTGCTTATATACCTTCTGCGCCCCAAATCTACTCCCAGTGTCCTCTCAACACGTGGCACTACTACAAGGGATTGTTTTTCTAATACCAGCATCCATGGAAAAAATTATTAATTACATCCATGCAGACCTATCATAGTCCCAAGATATTGTGAATCTCCCTCCCCATTCTATAAATAAACATAATAGTAGTGGACTCCACATCCATCCTTGAAAATCCTAAGTGATTCGTGATTAGATCAAGATTTAATTACTTCAATTCCTAATCATTCAAAACACACAATCTAAATCATCAAGCACTTACGAAGCACTTACGAAAGTGATTTAGATTGTTGTTTTCAAAATAACACAATGTATCGACACAAACGATTTTTACATGGAAAAACCACAATTGAAACACTTTCAATTGTGATAAAAAAAACTACAGGCGAAACGCCACTAATCAATCCACTACTGAAGAAAGAAAGATTACAAAGATAACAAACAAATTACCAAACGCATCCAATTTGTCTTCAACCCTTCTGTAAATCTTTCGCCAAGCCTTCATCTCGGAATTGATTAACCTGAAGTTGAATCCACAACTTCACTTGTCGAATCAACGACTACACACAGTATCAAACTCCTTTGAAACTCCACGTTTGAATCTCCAGAATCCACCAAAGAAGAATACTCTCGAATATAACCAATCAACCTCCCTGATATGTGCTTATCAATACATGAGTTTAATACTCACTCAAATCATCAAGGAAAACTCACAAAAGAAAACCTCAGAAAACCTTAAAGTAGATCTCAAAAACCTAATCCTAATTTTGGACTAAAACTACTACTTATAGAAATCTGGGACAGCGAAGCTCGCTCGAGCGAAGACTCTCTCGCTCGAGCGAGGAACTAATCTCGCGTGTTTTTCCATAAGTGGCTTCGCTCGAGCCATACAACCTTCGCTCGAGCGTACATTCATCCTTCTCAGGTTTTTGCCAGACGCAGCCTTCACTCGAGCAAGGACTCATTCGCTTGAGCGAGCAAGACAAAACAGCAAGGAAATTTACAACTCAATAACTCAAGTTTGTCCACGGGATTGACAAGACTAAGGGACCTAACAATCCTAATCTAATCTCATTTCCTATAACCCAAAACAAACGGACCCATAATATGCCCAACATTTATCTAGAGTCAAACCCGCCCCTAAGTTAAACTTCACTTACGATATCTAAACCCAATTACAAACTTGATTGTAGGTGTGACCAAACACCACCTTTCAACTCAAAAAAAATAAAATAAAATAAAAATTGTAGATTTTTATTTCATTTTGTCTTCGTTCTTCGCTCTCTAACTTCTTTCTACCTTTCTCTCATTTTCCCTTACTTTTTTGTTGGCCAAACACCCCAACTTGCTCCATCCTTACACCACCACCTCAACCCACTATGGTGCTGTTTAGTGTAACTTATTGTAAGTTAAAAGTTGATAATCAGAAAGCAGAAGCCGAAAGCACCCCTTCCCCAACTTCTAAATAATCAGTTTTTCTCAGCTTATTTAAGTTATTTCTACCTAAAAAGTTATAAGCAGAAGCTGTACCAAACAGTCTAGCATAGATTCTCAAATTAAAATAAGTTATAATCACCCCATATAATCCACACCAAACACCCCCTATCTCCACCACCGCCGGCCATCTTACCTCATCGGAAAAAGCTTCGACCCACTCCTCTTTTTTCAAAAATAGCACAAAAGAAGTTTCAACTCGAAATTTTTCTTAACCTCTTGGCATACACTATATAAGTGCACTTATTTAGATAATTGCACTTATTTCGATCACATAACCCCTCTTTTTTTTTGTACATATTTTCATAAAAAGTCAATAAGTATACTTGTTTAGATTATTCCAAATCTATATATTATATAAAGAAAATGGGACTTTTAGGGAGAAACCTTCTAGGAGTTTCAAACCTTCATTCTAAAATTATTAAATTTTGTTAATTTTAAACAATTAAGAAAATTTCTATTGGCTAGCTTTATAGCGATCCTGGTTTTCCCTTTCTGTAATTGTTGTATTCCGGACTTTAGTTCCGCGGTGTTGGTTGTTGTATATCTTGTTGTCATCCTTTAATTTCATATGTTTGAGTTTTAGGATGTATTGGGCAGGGTTGTTACAGGTTGGTTAGACCTTGGTTTCATTTCCTTGTTGCCCAATTTTTAGGCGGTCCGCTCGAGCGGGGTTTACACACTCCCAGTATTTCGTGCCCCTGCAAAACTTTTGCAGGTATGTTTTTCATGCTCGAGCAGGTTTCCTTACGCTCGAGCGGGTATGTTGGCGCTCGAGCGGGTAGTCCTTTGTCTGTGAAAGTTTTGGGAGAGGGAAATCTACGCTCGAGCGGACTGGTTTTTGCACTCGAGCGGATGTACTTTATTCTTGTGTCTTGGCGCTCGAGCGGGCCTTCTTGCGCTCGAGCGTGTCTAGATTTTTGTGCTTGACGCTCGAGCGTTCTGTTCTCCGCTCGAGCGGGAGAGTCGTATATCAGTTGACAACTAGGCTGTTTTAAATCACTTTTTACATCTCCACTCTCTCTCTTACTTTTAAAAAACGCCATTGGAGAGCCTCTCTCACTAAAACCTCCACTTCTCTCTAGATATTGATCTAGTTAGAGTAATATCTCACCCTTTGGCCTTTGTAAAAAGTGTGTTGATCGTTGAGGGCTACATTTTGATCCGAGAATTTTGGGATTTGGAGCATCTTCGTTTTCTTCATCTTCTTCGTTGGTATTCATCTCTTGAGGTAGGGATTCCTACTCATCCTTATGGGTTTTGACCTAGATATTGAGCATGTTGTTTAAATGGTTTGATTTTGGGACTTAGGGTTTCAAAAGGTAGAAAATGAGGTTTGTCATTTTGACTCTTTAATATTTATTTTGGGTCTCAAAATGATGTTATTGTTGTCAGTTGTTGATATTTGACCCTTGGGGTTAATATTGAGAGATAGGGGAGAAAGCCCTAAATTGTGCATAAATTAATTGGTGTAATTAATTTGGGAAAGTTATGGGTTTGTGAAATTGAGTTGAATATAATGAAATTGGCTCATTATGAGATGGGATAGTGGAGTTGGATTTATAAACCATTCACTTTTGAAAATGCGGATAATTTATCTGTTAGTGCTTTTATTATCTATTTAGAAATAATTGCTTTGGGCTACCGGTGGAGGGTAGTCTTGATTGTTGTAGACAATGCATGATGATTAGGCAAACTAAACCTGATCAATTGAATGTGTCATAGAATATGACGGTTGAAATAATACATTAACTTTATGTATTGGTTGAATGTGTATATGATCTATGTTTATATACATTGTGTTGTGTGGGAGGAGATAGGGGATGTACTCCACGATTTAAGAGAAGATAGGGGATGGACCTCTAAACCGGATAGTGTTTGAGAGAAGATAGGGGATGGACTCCGTAGATACAGCTCATATGCTTATCTGTTGAAGCGGTGATACAGCTCATATGCTTATCTGTTGAAGTGTTGATACAGCTCATATGCTTATCTGTTGAAGTGTTGATACAGCTCATATGCTTATCTGTTATGAAGTAGGAAATGTTTAATATGAGTTACTATCTCATTTAAATCGTTTGGCCAGGTTCTAAGCCATAGTTATAAATTGAGAATTGGAAAGGCAATGGAAAATGAAACGAAACATGGACACATTTGTCATGTAATGGAAATGGTTTGTGAATTGATTTATGTGAGTCAAACATTTATCAATTGCTAATGTCTTAGTTACTGCTCATATTATGTTTAGCATATCTCTACTGGGCGTTGGCTCACCCTATATGGGACATTATTTTCAGGTACAGGTAGCATGCTACCTCCAAGGACGTAGCTTGGAAGGCTAGGGCAGATGGACTGTTTTGTTGTTTTGCTCTCTTTTGATGTGTTACATGTAAATTCAAGCTAAGGGCTTAATATGTATTTGAGTTAGCACTCTTCTTTTTGTAACCAAGTGTTGACTTTGAAAGCTGTAAACCCATAAGGCATTTGCTTTTATTGTTAACATGTAATACGTTTGTAATAACTACTCTGATGAATAGAAAGATGTTTACTTCTCTTATATCACTGCATGTCTAAGATGATGGGTTTTATGTATTATTTTGAGGGCGTTACAACTTGGTATCAGAGCGTACCGGGTTTGAATATTTTGGGTACGTGGGAAGTGATTAGTATCGCAATGGGTTTGTCTCGCTTGTTAGAGACTTGTGTGTACTGTTATGTGCTTATGTGATAACATGTTTATGTGACTACTTGGGTATGGGATTTAGTTTCCAGGATATTGATTAATGTTGTTTCTAACCAGAACTCTAGTAATGCCTCGGGACTATCATTATCCGAAAATGAAATTCGTAAGTACTTATGTGCTTATGTGCTTACGTGAAGTGAATTACAGTTGTCCATGCATTAGGATGCGAGTATTATAGCTTCGGCACATTTGTGAATGTACTAACGTTCTTCGTTACCTTTATTAGGATATCAGGACGAGGACGGGGAGGTAGACGTGGTAGGCGTGGTAGGCAGGAAATGCCTCTACCGGATGATATTCCGGCG